TTGCATCCTGAACTCTTTATTATTATTATTGTTGTTGTTGTTATTGATGAAAAATTAGTGTATTAAGAGATTATTGCATTATGTACTTTTTATTATTGTTGTTGTTGCTGTTATTATTTGGTTTAATAAATTTGCAATGGACATTATCACATTAATTATTAATATATAAAAAATTAAAATTTAAAATAAAAAAATATTATTATTTAGCATGTCAATGACCGGGAAACTAATACAAGTGCAATAATACATTATGATATATATTCATACTTTCAACTTTGCTTGGAGAGTTGGAGGTATTGAAAAGTAGAAGGAAATTGTAAATATTGTTAATAAAGTCAAGAGAGGTTTTATATATAAGTAAAAGTATGGTGCATCTAGGAATATTGTTGCACATTAAAGCAAGATTTCAATAAATCAATTAAAAGATATCGCATGGTCTACTTACTTTAACAATATTAAAGATGCTAATTATGACGTATCGTTTTATTACTTCATTTTTTTTTGTTTTAAAATATAGTTCATGCATCATAGATTTTGTGTTAATTGAGGAAGAAATTCCATAGGCTGCATTTGGTAAAAATCAAAACAAATTTGTACTTCCGTTCAGTTTTTCAGATATTTGGTAAATGCTTTTTTGTACTAATAATGAAAATAAATTTATCTATTTTGCATTCAAAATGGGAATGGAATTTTCTTACAAAAAGGTAAACTCCAATCTTGAAATTTGTGTCTGTAACTATCACAAAATGTAACTCATTAGATGGTAAGGTCGGAGCTTTTCAAATCTTGATCATTTTAAATTTTGTGGGTTTTTGTTTTTTAAAAAAAAATTGAAAAACAAAAGACATGAATAGTAGGGCAATTTAAACTACCCACAATCGATTCACTTTCTTTTCTGTCTGTCTGTAAACTGAACTTAAATCACTTCCCCTGGGACATCCGGGCATCTTCAAACACAAGCCCATGCATAGCACGGGCCCCTTCTAGTTTTATTTGACTCTTGACCCAAGCCTTCAATAAATCCATCAGAGTTCCAATTAAACAAACTTTTCAAAATTAAATCCTTATTCTATATTATTAACTCAATTTTCTAAAAAAGAAAAACTTTGCATATTATTCTTCAATAAAAAGAACAATCAAAGCATCTAAAAAAATTTCGCTTTATCTAAGACAAGTCACAGCTCAGGATTAATTACTTGCCAATCACATTCAGTAATGTCGTCCATCTTCCCACACTCTTATAATCTGAGGTTTAACATACTTCTTGAACATGGATTTATCAGTTCGATTATATATGATGGTGAATGGTGGATTACAACTGGGATGTAAATTGGACATCTTAATTTGGTAGTTGTAGGCTTGATATTGTAGCCTAGTAGCTTTCATATAAATATTTTCACCTGGTGGTTGAACTTAAGGCTCAGTTTTGAAGGAGTACAAATATTTTCAATGTATATATTTGCATTTGAACTCCTTCCAAACTAAGCCTAATAGTCAGATTACTTAACTAGTCACCTGGTCGCAGGAGTAATGGCACCTGGGGCTGGCCTAGGTCTGTTGGCTTGTAACGATTGAAGGGATGGGAGATCCATCCTATGGACGCCCAAAGATTGCGGAAT